GAAAACAACTCTCAAGAAACTCTCTAAATTCTCTCTAGTATTGGAAGAAAGCTAGAATGCTTTGGGATGGTTTTGAAGCCAAATGGGATAGGGTATTTATAGCTAAATCTTAAGGACTTAATCTTGTAAATACACTAAAATTTAATGACTAAAAATTGTAATTTGACTATATAAAAAATCAACAAAATTAGCTTTAAATAATTTTTTTTTCAAAGCCACCGGCTGCTTAGCAGTCCATGTGGTTTGATTTTTCAACAAAATCTTGTTAATTAGCAAAGTCATAAAATATACAAAAGAAAAACAGTTAAAAAACACCAAGGCGAATAGTTGAATGGTATGAAGACATGTATGTATGTACCTCGGGTTCAATGCAAAGCAAACAAGAGAATTTTAATAAAACTATCACCGATTTTGCCTGTGATGGTGGGTGGCTCAACGCCTCAGTAAGTCAATCTTTTAAGGGATCTGTATCGAAATTTACAGCAATCAAAAGGGTGTCAAAGTGTGAACACCAAGAGAGAGATTGGCGGTGGAAGGAAAGGTGGCCAACCCTAAAACACAAGAAGCTACCCTTGTGCTTTCTGCAACTTATATTTTCTCTTTGCTTTTATGGATGACAACGATGGTGACGTTTTATCTTACCCACGTCCGGAACACCATGAAATTAGCTCAAATTAATGGTCGGGCCTAATTAGGCAACTATTGTAAAAATGATCGACTGGTCATATTCGAAAACTGTAAAAAGAAGAGCATGAATAAAAACAGCACTGAATCATTCATTCAGTACCCGACAAAGCAAATTTCAAAAGAGAAAAATGAAAGCTGAAAAGTACTGCGAGGAGAGACTTGTGTATAGACAGTAGCATATAATGTAATTACTTTTCGACTTTCTAGTTCTGTCCATCTATTTGCGGCGTTATATTTATTGTGATGGTCGAGATATCGATTACTATTACGATTATTAAGCTTGTGATTATTTTTTTTAAAAAAAAGTTGTTTTATTGAAAGAAAACATTTGATTTTCTTAAAAATAGAATAACAAAACAATAGTTAAAATAATAATCCATTATTCATTAAATTATGATCGTAATTCATTGTTATTAGTATAATTTTATTTTATAATGATACCTTTTACAATAAAGATTTGAAATATTATCGTTATTACTATATAGTAACCATTATTCTATTACTCAACTATTATTTAGATTTTGATAAATACTTAATAAGTTTAAAAGGATTAATCATGAACGTTAAAACAGTAGTTATTAATAATATATGTAATATATTAATATAATTGTTTGAATTTAATTTTTTTAAATAATATATTATGTTATTCAATGGTCGGATGAAGATTGTAACTTTGTTTATCTGCTGTGTTTTTTTTATTGTTTCTGTGTATTAAATTTTGTGTCTTCTTTGTACAGCACTATTCCGGGTTTTGCGGGTTTTGTTGCAGAATAATCCAAAAGTAGATAATCATCAAATGAAAGGTCACGGGAAAGACAATCTAATACTAAAGAAATGTATAATTGAAAATGTTAATTTTATTTTAATAATGTATAATTGAAAATGTTAATTTTATTTTAATATTTTCGGTGGGGTGTTACTTAAAATGTTAATTTTCTTAACGTTTCCGATTATAGCCAGAAATATTATGGAGAAAGTAACATTTTCGATTGTAACCGGAAACATTAAAAGATTAACATATTAAATAATAAAATTAACATTTTAAGTAGCGTTCTACCGAAAATATTAAAAAAATATTAACATTTCTAATTACGCTTTTATTTAATATTATATTAAGTTGTGTACAACAGAACTATCCTACTTATCACTTTGGATTATGGCTTCCATACTTGAAAAGAAAATAACCTTTATGAGAAAACCCCTTTAAAAAAACTAGTCAAGTGTTTGTTTAAAAAACTAGTTAAGTGTTTGTTTAAAAAACTAGTTAAGTGTTTGTTTAAAAAACTAGATCAATAAACTTATTATTTAAAAAATTTAAATTATAAAAAGGTTGATTCTTTTAAATAAGTAATCCACATAGGAACATCTCACAAATTATGTTGTATATAGACATATTCAATAGTAGGCGATCGACTCTTCGATTGCTTCATCTTTTGATCTTCATGGTCAATTATCTGATGGGCTTAAAACTGGACTATGTTAGTCGACTCGTCATTCTCTCATGGTTCACTATTCGGATTGGTCTCCCGTCCACCGAAGCTATGTCACATCAGTCTGTTCGTTAAGTTTTTTATAGAGGGATATTAAAACGAAACAAAAATTAAATATAAGTGATGATTTTAAAAAAATTATGTAATGAAACAAACCAAAAGTGATAATTTAAGTACTAAATACACATTTTATCCAATCTTAATATATGAAAACCATCAAGTTGAAAAATCCTATTAATATAGTCAATTGATTGCTCTCTGTACAAATATAGCCACCGAGGCCCATTAAAACAATTATTACCACTAAGATTTATCAAGAGATCACATGATAACAAATCATTGTTCGAAGCAAGGTCATCACCTACTTAGGCACAAATGAGGTATTAACTCCAACTATTTAATCATATGGGTATTAATGTTTTGAGGATTCGGGGTCTTATCTTCGACTTGTAAGGTCGTTTTAGAAAGATAATGGATCTCAAGGGAGTCTAATGGGGTCTATTGGGTCGAGTTGGCCCCAAAAAAACCAAAGGAATCCAATTCAGCCCACAGTTTCGGAACTTTGAGGGTTGATTTCGAAACTCAGGAAAGGGTTTTATAAGCCAAGACATTGGATTAAATTTAGGCTTTATAATTTTGGTAAGGGTGGAAATGTATTTTTCAAAGCCAATTTTAAACTAAAAAATATTTTAATAGACAAAATTTTATCAGATTCATTGATCATTTCAGGCCGAGTATTATCACGCTTATAAAATTACATTTATTATTTTTTGAAAATCTACTTGAAATGAAATCTAGGAGATCCGTGTCGGTCAAATTTTGATGTATGCAAGTAGGAGTGTAATATGTACAAGTGCAAGTAATCGAAAAAGTAATGTAATGATGAGTAAAGCATCATCTTCACTAATAAGTGGTTATGTGAGTATAGTTTACCCTTAAGATATTGTCATTGGGTATCTAATCATCCACATAATCAAAAAAATTGTTTGTTGGGGAAATTTTAGTAATTTGAAATGAATAAACTGCCAAGACAGTTTTGTACACAAGGGGAAGTACCCACCTTCTTTATAAGTTAAAGGCGCCAAGTTGGTTAGTGGTGTCCTTTTAGATCCACCATTTCTAACACAGTGAAATAAAATGTCCTTTCAACGTAAAAAAAATTAATTCTCAATAGTTTGATATCGAACGTTTATATTCTTAATATTCCTGATGTTCGAATTCGAGATTTCAAAGAATGATAATATTTTTTTACATAGAAGGTTAGAGTTCGATTCTTCTCTCAACCAAAAATATCGTTTTTTTATATTATTTTATTAATAAAATGGTGACCTAGGTTATATCTGGATCGAATGAAATAATTAAATAATATTGCATGGACGGTTGATATGAGGTTAAAAACTCCTATTTTAAGGTGTTTTTCTCTATCATAAAAAAATATTTTTTTCATGGTCATATTCAATTAGAAAACAGCTATTATTTTAACTTTTATGCATGATTGGTTGTAATTAATAAATTTAGATAAAGGTAATGATGGTTTGAATGCATTCTCAAGGGCTGATCTTTCAAGTTTGTCAAGAAAGACATTAATTAAATGAATAGAAGGGAGATTGGAGGGGTCAAGTCTCCATACTTCTACATTGTGATTCCAACACCTTTCCTTACTTTTGTCCAATCAAAATCCAATTTGTCTATTTGATGGCTGTTGAAATTACATTCAGCAAACCACCCCCCCTACTACTTTGTCTCTCTAAGTAATCTAAAGGTATCTGTAAATATAAGATTTTAGGTTAAAAATTAAATTTATAAAATTTAAAGGGTTAATTTATAAAAATTTAAGAGAAGAAGATAGATTATTAACAAAAATATTTGAAATATATAAAAATAAAAAAAAATAAAAACAACGGGCATATTTTAAGAATTTAAATTGTGGACCTAATCGTATTTTGATTGTATTATATTTATTACGATTAATGATAATGAGTGTTATTATAATTATTATGATAATCGGGTATTACAGTCATACAATAATAATTTCAAACTATACTTTTATTATTATATAGTGATTTGTTTTCTAATAATGAATCTCTATTTAAATCTATCACGTGTCAAAGGCATATTCTAATAACGTATTATGCTTCCATCCATCTATTAACTATTGAAGCAATACTTTAAAGTTTACACATCAAATCTTCAATTCAACAATACTTTTGCAATGGAAAAAGGAATGATTTTAAATTGGCAAAAAACATAAGATGTCTCTATACTTTTGAAAAAAATTAATATAACCTTATTAATTTTTTCTCACAATGTGACCCTCCAACTCAGAAAATAAATTTAATGTGATCTTTTGACCAACGTTTTTTCGTCCTTGACCGTTATAGTGTTGACGTGGCAGTTCACGATACTGACATGACAATCCAGGGTGGACAATTAACGTGGTAGATGATGTGACAATTGGATTAAATTGGTAACTCTTACATGGCAGATGGAATATCATGTCAACACCGTAGACCGCTACGTCGGCACTGTGAACTAGCGAGCCAGTAGTGTAACGGTCAACAACAAAAAACGTTGATCAAAGGGTCACATTAGGTTTATTTTCTGAGTTAGAAAGCTAAATTGAGAGAAAATAATACGAAAACTACATTGATTTTTCTCAAAAAGTACAGGGTCCTTTAACGCCTTTTTATCTTTTAAATTTCATTGAAAAAAAAAACAAAAGATGTTTAACTAAAATCAAATAAATTTCTCTTTTAAGATTGAACTAAAAAAAATTTCCTTTGATTTACAAACTTGTATATATATATATATATAAAGAACTACTCAAAAGGGCATGATATGGGTGGTCTTAGTATCATAACTTGATAAACAAGGCTTAGAGTTACCCCCAAAAATCTTGAGCAAATCGGCAGACATTTGCCTAACTGCCGGAGAACAATTGCTTTGAATAAGCAACAAAATCTTGGTCATCCCATTGCCGCTAACCACCGCTTCTACCGCCTCCTCCTCCCTGAACAAATAGCAAACCATCCAAAGTATCGTCACTGCGTGCTCCGTCGCTTTGCTCGATACTTTCAATACTCTCTGCACGATCGCTTGTAGCAATATCGAATCATGCCGTATCTCCACACTCCCTTCTTTGCAAGACGATAATGTTTCCAGCAGTTTTAGTGATTTTTCGATCATCGAAACGGTGGTCATGTTTGGTTCAGATAAGAGGATCTTTAATTCTGGTATTGTTCCAGATTGGATTACTTTTGTTTTCACTCTTTTGCGCGTCGCGATTGCTATCAAACAAGATAAGCTCGCTTCGATCAACCTTGGATCATTGTCCTTAGTTAATGATTTTACCAATTCGACTAGTAACCCCTCTTTTTCGGCTATTTTGAGCTTGGATTCTCCATCCACCGCTAGAGATTCCAGTAACCGAACCGATTGGATTTTGGAATCTGAACTTCCTATTTGTAAAACAAGATGAATCGTCGACAAGCAATTCGATTCCAATAATGGCTTCTTCTTATCCAAATATTTATTTATCATCAAATCCAAAATCTGAACAACTTGTTCGATTAATTTGATGTCCGCTTCCGCATTCCTCATGAAATCGTAAACCGCGTTCAGAAATCCGTCCATTCTCGCGAGGAATTCGCGGTTCTCCTCTGATTCTCTCGCGAAACAAACGATCTTCGTTAACGCTGAAATGCAGCCATTATCAAGCTGTTTGACCAAAATTTTGACCTGGTCTTGAGAAGGAACGACGACCGATTCGGCGTGGAGTTGACGGCAAGCCACCGAGTTGGACCAGATCTGAATGAGGCGTTGTAAATTACGGTTGGGAACGAAATCTTTGGTTTGAAGAACTTGCATGGTGGCGGGACACGTGTTGTTGCCGCTGTCAAGCCAACGCTGGATGCTGGTTCGGTCGTACGTTACACCCGTGCACAAGCTCATAGGGGATGTCATCACGTCTAACGATATCGGACATCGAAACAAATTGGGAACTGTAATGTACAAATCGTGTCTTGGCATTTTCCCCCCCTGGTTTGGGAAGCGAGGAAGTGGAGGAAAATGAATATTTCAGTGAGAGAGTGACCGAAGAACCCCAAAAAGAAAGAGACTAGAGAAGTGGGAGATGAAAGAGCGAGAGGGGGTGGGATTTAAAGAGATAGAGATAAATAATCAAAGGAAAGTTTGTAGGTTTAGACTCGTTGACCTGGAATTTTTAATAGTTTACTATTGAAAAATAACACCTTTAATATTTTTTATTCGAATTTAATACCTCAAACAATAATAATATTTCTTTTACATAATTTAAAACTTCGATATCTTGTTTGTAATAAAATTCAAATTAATATCTAAAAAATATGAAACGTTTGTTTTATATGTTATTTTTAATATAATTTTATAATTAATTTATGCTTTAATTTATAATTAACTATTATTATAAATAACATTTAAAATTATAATAAAAATTAAAGCAAATTACGTATTTAGTCATTCATCTATTCTTGTGGTTTTGTTTTGATTATTCGATTATTTTTTAAAATCATACCCAACGTTACATTTTAATTCCGTTTTGATCATCCGTTGTTAAAAATAACGATGATGCTAATGTGTTGCCATAACATAATGTCACGTTATTATTGAAAACTAAAAAATATATCACATCAACAATTCTACTTATTCTTAATAATTGATTATCAAAACAGAATAAAAACGTAACGTTATGTGTAGTTTTTAAAAAATATATATATAATTAGATGACTAAAGCGGAACTGCAAGATAAGGTGGATGGCTAAACACTTAGTTTGCCCTGAAAAATAATTTTGCATACTGATTGGCTGGTCACTTGTAGCAAATTAGCGTGTAACTTTTCAAGGGAATAAGGATTTAAAACTTTGCAATTGGGGTGAAAGCCAAAACACGTTGGTTTGGTAGGCGGCAATCTGTCGATTGCTACTGCTCATTTTGGTAGTTTTTCAAACATCGAGACTCCAACGGGGCAAAATTAGATACCAATACGTAACAACTGCGGCTGTTGTTGCTACCTCTACCCCAAAAAAAGTAGTAAAAAGTAAAACTTTATAGACACCAAACCTAACAAATACGCAATTTTCTTGTTTGCCGTTTGAAAAATCAGACGATGAAAAGTCAGATTTTTGTTGTTGAAATGTGAGCATGTGTTCAAACATCATATCTTGCAAATCTGTCTTTGAAGAAATTTGGGGTCTAACTTTGTATAATAAAACATGTTTGTTTCATGTTAAACTCGTGGTATATAGAAACTCAAGAATATTGATACGAACTTCGTAATTGATATTCTAATAACTCAAAAGCTGAATTTCATCTCAATAAAGAAATAAAAGGATTCGCTTTCGGTGAAAGTAAATGATTTCATCATAAAGTAATGTAATTTATTACATTGAAGAGTTTGATCCTTTTCCATCGGAATTTGATTTAAACTTGAATAACTGAATTGAGCAAGGGTTCAAAGTTGGATGGTTATGTAAATTTTATTTTCAAATGCATTGAGAATATATTATATAGGCTACGATGATAAAAATTCTTCTTAATATTGAAAAACAAAATCAATATTTTTTCCTCATTTTTGTGTATTTTTATGATTAAGGGATAAATGGGAAAAAAAGATGTATATGTTGAGGACTAGAAAATTATTTTACCTTTTTTGTAATTTTCACGTCAACAATTAATCAAAAAAATAAATGTATTTCTCTTAACGAAGTGACCATTTTACTCTTTTGGAAATGTATGGAGATCAACTTTATCTTTTTCTCGCTAGAGAGGCCAAAATGCAATAAGGAATATGGTACATGGATGTTGTGGTACTTTTACCAAACGAATTTAGTAGTTAAGAGACGATTGTTATCCTTAAAATTATCAGGGTTGCGTACGACGTTTACAAGAGTGTCTGAGTATTCATTCTCAATTAATTGAAAATTTTTCGAACAAATATTAAATATTGCCTTCTAATCATTATAGACTACTAAGAAAAATTGCATAACAATTTAATAGTATATAGGATTTTAATGTAAATACTGTTATTGCATTAATTCTATAGTATGTTTTCAATAGTTTAATAAATGGCTTAGAATTTTAATTTTCCAGAAAGGAATGTGAATATATTTTTTAAATTATTTGTTGGAAACAGATTTCCGCTTTACTTTAAACAATTTCTATGAACTCAACTTTTTTTTAAGGGAAAATAACCTCAGTGACAAAAAATCCTAGATAATATATGATTTTGACCAACTTTTTTTGGATTTGCGAAAATGACCAACAAAATCGCAATGCGATCTCTAATTCGCATTGCGATTTTCCATTTCGCGTTGCGATAGTCTACAGTTGTTAAAAAAAAGATTTTGTTTCTTAAGAATTTTCTCTAAAAAGATAGTATCCGCGCGGACGTGTCGAAGACACGTATTACCACGACCACGACCACGACCACGACCACGACCACGACCACGACCACGACCACGACGGCGGCGGCGGCGCGCGAGAGTCCCCCTTGTTCTCTATCACTCAACAAGGAAGTGGAAAAGCCAAACCTTAAATACCATTCCCAATAGTGTTTCCAATACTATGTGGGATTGAGCATTACCAACACTTGTTTCCAATACAATGTGATTATTCAGGAAACAATTAACAATTATGCACCTTAAAACAACTGAATTAGCAACCAATTGCATTAGTATTATACGATTAAATATGTCATAATTAAAAGTCAATCTACAATCAATCGCGATTATTGCAATTTTAAGCAAACATTCAAAAATAATATCACTATTTAAGGCTCAATCCCACATAGTATTGGGAACAAGTGTTGGTAATACTCAAATCCCACATAGTATTGGAAACACTATTGGGAATAGTATTTAAGGCTTGGCTTTCTCACTTCCTTGTTGAGTGATAAAGAACAAGGGGGACTCTCGCGCGCTGCCGCCGCCGCCGTCCGTCTCGTCTCGGGTCGTGGTCGTGGTAATACGTGTCTTCGACACGTCCGCGCGGAATGCAACGCAAATTTGCGATAGTGGAGATCGCATTGCGATTTTGTTGGTCATTTTTGCGATTTTCAACTATCGCAACGCGAAATGAAAAATCGCAACGCGAAATGCAACGCGAATTTGCGATAGTGGAGATCGCATTGCGATTTTGTTGGTCATTTTCGCAAATCCAAAAAAAGTTGGTTAAAATCGTATATTATCTGAGATTTTTGGTCACTGAGGTTATTTTCTCTTTTTTTAATTCAGAAGCAACTAATTTTATAAAGGAAGAAGAGATATTCAAAATTACAATAAAAATTTGTAATTAGAATCATAAATTACAAATATAATTATGATATTATGCTATAATCAGTAAGACAATAAACTATCCAGTTAACATCATATAACGATCATGTAAGAAAAAGTTGAAAAATCCACCTAAAAAACTCGAATAATAGGTAGATACAAATAGATTTGATTGCTACAACAAGTGAACCACAATAAGAGATTAAATTGTTGAAAGATTATCAACAAACACAAATTAAAGTCAAATATCGTGAGAAAACTATCTACGAACGCAAATTGTGTATCCAAATCCAATTCGAGGGTCCAAAACAGGAAAGATCAACATGATAACAAATAAACACCATCTTAATCAGTCACGACGACGTCAAATCAAATCCTAAAAAAAATAAATGACAAAAACAACCAAACGATAAAAAAAGAAAACCAAAATATATGCCAAAACGTGAGATAATCCGTAACTGTTAAATAAAAAACATAATTTATTAAAAACAAAAGAAAAATAAAAACATAGGGGTGTTCAAAATAATCCCTAGTTAACTGGTGTAACTGTTATATTTAAGGGTAAAATACACAAATGATCTCCCGATTATAGAATACTGCTTTATTTAATCCATCAATTATTAAAAGTTATAAAATGGTTACTTGACCATTAATTATGTTCCAAACCCATAATTTTCCTTTAAAAAATTGACAGTTGTTTAAGCTGGACGTTAACATGATGTCTAAGATATGATAGTCATTTGAGATTCTGGAATCAAGTTTTATCATATTTCAGTCAACAAATTAATATTCAACTCAAAACACTAATCATTTTTTAATGGAAAAGAACGAGTTTGGAACATAATGAATAGTTAAGTGATAAATTTGTAACTTTTAATAGTTGAGGGACTCAACAAAGCAACACTCTATAGTCATAGGACTATTTTGTAACTTTTAATAGTTGAGGGATGAAATAAAGCAGTACCTTATAGTTGAGGGACCATTTGTGTACTTTACCCTATATTTTATAGGTTACTTAACCGAACCGTTAATGTTAAACAGCTTCAGTTAATCGAACCACTAAAAATAACGATTAACAGTTATGGTTACGGTTACGAATTTTTTATCATCGATTAATCGTTAATAGAATATACTTATAATTATATTTTTAAGAAAAATACAAAACAGAAGGAGAAGTAAAGTCTAGCTTTATCCCTAAATTAAATTTCTAATTATAGTTTTAGGGGATGATTAGTATTTGTAAATTCTAATTTAATTCTCAATTCTTTTTCATCTTCAATTTGTTAGTATTACATTATATTTTTTTCCTAATATGTTTCATGTTTTGAATATATGAATGAAGGATTTCACAATCATTCAACCAACAATTATGATTGATAAGTTATATTTCATTTGGATGAAGTCAATGAAGACCTTAGGCGTTGATGATTTTATCCTAGAGATTTTGAGTTGTCGTGCTTATTTTATATTTGTTAAATAATTATCTATAAAATTTTGATGATGTATTAAACTATTACTAAATGTTATGTGATGAACTTAAAGTACTATTAATGATGATATATTTTGCAGTATAACTTTATAATATGAATTATAAAATTTTAAAATGTTCATGTTGCGTTGTCTTTGAAAAGAAAATATTATAAGTTAACCTGTAATCGAACTATTTATATGGTTAACCACTAACGATTAACCGTTTCATAATGGTTAGGTTATAATTAGAAAAAACTTATAACCGCTATAACGATTAAC